TTTTCTTTAAAAAATCACATTGTGCTTACTTTATATTCTAAACATGTTTTTGGATGAAACATGTATGAATCTGATTAATACGTGTATGCCTATGAGTTTACTACTTTATTGTTGGATATTGTATGAATTGTGATATAATATTGATATACAAATGGTATAAATTGTTTGATTATATGAATTTATCAATTTTTATACATGTTGTTTGGATAAAATATGTATGAAATTTTGATTAATATGTGTGTGACACTAACTGAAGTTAGTGTGGGAATGAAACATTAACTGCAATTTATTTTAAATTTATTTATAGTAGGACATCAGTTGAAAACCAAATTAATATTCATATAAACTTACATTAAATTAAATACTCAGGATACCATAATTACCTTTTATAATTATCACTAATATTTACACTATCTTATGTATTAAGCTGGAATAAATTTTATTTTTAACAGTATGCATCTGTATGATTAATGAATGAACAATGTATAAAGAATGAACGGTATATTAAACACTAAGTTTGCATTTCAAATCAATTATGTTTCATATCAAAACAAAACATTAATCTAAATGACAAAATAAAATAAAAATTATATATAGTCTAAACAAATAAACAATCATTAGTTTTGCACAGGATAATTTGAGCATGCTTCATGTTGTGGCCAACTTGACAACATCTACTGCAAGTAACTTTGGACCTTTTGAATTTCACATCAGCAACCCTCTTTCATATATAATTCATTTCATTTGAAAATCAACATAATTCTCTGTTTCATTAAAAAAGAAACAATTAGTCTAACATTATACAAATCAATTAGAAATATGTTAAATAATATTAACTTTTCATTTCAAAGACAATACACATTTCATCCATAAAAATTATTATAATAACAACAAAATTATACACACTAGTCATTATTTTTTCATACAAATATCATTCATACAGTACATTACAAAACAAATTTCATACAAAACATAATATTTCACATTTAATATTCACTTAATACACATTTCATACAACAATCATCATTCATACCAAATTTATACATTTTCATACTCATTTATTACACATTTCATACAAAACGATTATTCATTCAAACTATATACATTTCTCGTCCCAAATAATTAATTACTGTCACCAAACTTTATACAGAAATAACAAAACTAATATAAACTCAACAATTTCACATTTAATACCAATTTAAAACACTTGTAATACACTTCGTCAAGAATTCCAAATTTTTTTTTACATATTTCTTAACACACTTTTCATACATAATTCATTCGACTTATACTATCAAATTCATTATCAAATAAAATAAATTTTCATAAATTCGTCAACATTATAATTAAATTATTTTTACAGAATAATTAGCACACTTTCATACAAATTTCATTTAATTTATTCTATCAAATTTATTCATAAAATCACATTAAATTTATAATTTCACAAAACAATAACCGTGTACAAAATAAACAAATAAACAAAAAAAACACTAAATTTTTTTACATTTCACAACAGTAAACATATCAACCCTTCGGGGTGGCCCAGTGGTTTGGGCTTGGGACTTCCATGTTGGAGGTCTCAAGTTCGAAACCCCTTGCCAGCGAAAGCAAGGGGTTTGCCTTCTGGGTCGAGCTCGTCGCACCGGGCTTGCCTAGTGCGGGTTACCTCTCCTATGTGATTTGCGAGCTATTGCATAGGAGCGGGGGTTTTACCCTGTGCGCACTCAAAGGGTAGCGGTTGCAGGTTTCCCTTGTCATTAAAAAAAAAAAAAAACATAATATGATATCAATAGTTAACAAAATATGACTCCACCTTCAATTAATCGACATTTTGATCATTTTTGTTTCATTTCACTATCATTCTAAAACAAACGTTAAACAATAATAAATACTAACCCGAAGGATCCCATCTTTCACCATGCATGTTTAATTAAAACTGATACGTAGTTGTCCATCACAACAAAATCAAGAATTTTCAAAGATGAAAAAAACTTCAATTACTCGAATGTGGGATTTTTTTATGTTGAAAATTGAAGAGAGAAACGTTGAATTTTTTTTGTTGCAAATTGAAGAGAGAGAAACGTTGAAAAAAGAAGAAGATAAAATCTGAATTTTTATTTGATTTTAACTGATTTGAGTGAATTAAGGCTACTAAATAATCTTAATTAGTTTAAATCCCTTAATTTGTGCTATTTATTAATTATCTACAAAAGAATGATATGATATGATTTTTAAATTTATCTTAACTGATTTTAAGTGAATTAAGGATAAAAAATATTGTTAGTTTGTTTGAATCCCTTATTTCATGCTAATAATTAATTATCTATAATAAATTCAAATTAAATTACAGGCCACACTTTCAGTTTTTTACTTTATTATCTATAATTCCGTTTTTTTTTAAAAATTTTGTTTTTTTTAAAACTTTTTTCAAATTAATAAAAACATTTCTTTTATTTGTGAATTTGTTATAACCTGAAATTTTTAATGTTATAGCTTGAAAGTCTAAATCTATTGCTGTAACCTGAAAATAGTACTATAATATATGTCATATATGAAATTTACACTTTAAAATACGGTATTAAATAGTTTAGGGAGGTAATAGGTCCTCATGAAAGTTTAGTATCGCAACAGCAAATCCGATCAAAGTTGGGGTATTTTTCATACCCTTATCCCTTTTATTTAGGTACAAAAACATTCTTCATTATTTTGTTATTATAAAGGGGACCTTGCTTCTTAACTTTTATTCAAAACTTATTTTATATATATTAAGTTCTTGTTTGTTTTTTTTTTTTTAAAAAGAGATCATTATTATGGTGTGAATTTGACCGTGATCGACACTCAAAATCATTGTTGGTCCCAAATAAATTTTTGACCTAACTTACTATTATAGTAAGACTATAAATACTATGTGAAAGTTTTTAAAAGATGAGCTACACAATTGATGTAGAAAACATAACTCGAGTAACTTTATATATAATAAGTCTTGAAAGTAGAGTTGTTTGAGAAATAACTGAAATATAATTCAATATGACTCATCTAATTTGTCTATGAACTCTTTATTGAAATGAGGATAAATGCCAGAACAAGATCCACAATTACGTACCTTATTGTTCTACTAGAAATAAATAATAATTAACTAAACTGAACTAGCTAAACTAGAGCCCTTCGGAAGTAAAGATGTCTCACCAAAAACTGATGGAAAGAGATCCTACTGAAAATGCAGTAATAGAGATGAGTTTGACAGAAGATCTTGTGAGGGAGGAGGAGAGAGAATTGTGAAAAAACAGCAGAGGGGAAAATTAGGAGAGAGAATGAACTGATTTGGAGTGAAAGCGTAAATTATGGAGATAATTAAAGGAATAAATAAGTGCAAGAAAAGGGAGACCTTTTATTCCATTACAAATACAAACAAGGAGCAGTAAGGATAGGGGCACCAACAATGATCAATGATTGAAAAAATGATCTTTTGGAATATCAGGTCCATCAATACTCAAAAGTCTTTTGAGAGATTAATGGACTTGAATAGAAGACATCATTATGCATTTATATCCCTGATGGAGCCTTTTCAGAATCCATCAATGCTAGAACAATATAAAATGAAACTAGGTTTTGACAAGGCTGCAGCAAATTGTAATGGCAAAATATGGTACTTTTGGAAAGATGAGTGGATGGGCAGTATATTGTTGGACACCACTCAACAAGTTACTATCCAATTCAAACACAACAATAAGGAGTTTATTATATCGGTTGTGTATGCAAGGTGCAATGCTTTAGAGAGATTGGAGTTGTGGGAGGAGTTAGAGAGTATAGCGGAGAGAGTGCAATGTCCTTGGATTATTCGGGGAGATTTTAATGTCATTTTAAATTGAGGAAAAGCTGGGAGGTTTATAATTTTCTCCCAATGAAGCCATCGATTTTGCAACTTTTATTAGTAGTGGTGCACTTTCTGAAGTGCGATGGTTGGGCAGTAAATTTACTTGGTGGAATGGAAGAATTGAGGAGGCGTGCATCTTCAAAAGATTGGATAGAATATTGGTGAATCAAGCTTTTCTGAATGTTTTCCTTCTTCTGAGGTCCATCATCTAGTCAGACAAGGGTCTGATTATGCACCGCTCCATATGATATGTAACTCAGAAGAGGAACCTTCAAACCTTTCAGATTTCTAAAATTTTGGAGTAAACATAAACAGTTCAAGAATATAGTAGAGGAGAATTGGAAGGTTGATTTTGCTGAAAATCCATTTATCGAATTCCATGTAAAATTGAAAAAGGTCAAGAAAGCATTGTCAATTTGGAATAAAGAGGTGTTTGGTGATATTTTTCAATAAATTGCCACGATTGAGGACATCATTAAGGTGAAAGAGACACAGTTGGAGATACAACCTTCAGCAACTAATAGAGCTGTACTAAGCAAGGTGGAAGCGGAATTAAAAAAATTCTTGAAATTGGAGGAGGATTTTTGGAGACAGAAAGCGGGAATGAAGTGGTTCATGGATGGAGACAGGAATACTAAATATTTCCACTCGTATGTTAAGGGTAGAAAAAAGAAATTACACATGGCTGAGATGATCACAGAGCAAGGGGTGACACTGAGTACTAATGATGAAATTGGGGAGGCAATAGTTCAATTTTCTGAAGAGAGAAGAGTAGAAGAGTATTTAATGCTGGAACATATTCCTAAGTGCATAACCAATGCAGAAAATGAAGTAATGACAAAGCTTCCTGATCAAGATGAAGTTAAAAAAGTGGTTTTCGAGCTTAATGGAAACGGCGCATGTGGGCCAGATAGCTTTACTGGTCATTTCTTTCAAAGTTGTTGGGAGATAATTGGAGAAGATATTACCAAGGTGGTGAGGGCTTTCTTTTGTGGCCAAGAGCTGCCTAAGTTTGTAACTCATACAAACTTGGTGTTGTTACCCAAAAAGGTATCAGCAAAGTATTTCACTGATTTTAAGACCCATAAGTTTTAGTTCTTTTATAAATAAAGTTATATCCAGAATGGTTCATGAAAGAATGGTGGTGGTGTTACCTAATCTTATATCACCAACCCAATCAGGCTTTGTTAAAGAAAGGAACATTACAGAGAATATCTTATTGGCGCAGGAAATAATTAGAGACATTAACAGGAGGAACAAAAATATTAATGTGGTTGTCAAGTTGGATATGGCCAAAGCATATGACAGAGTTTCTGGGATCTTTCTAACAAAAGTTCTGAGAAAATTTGGCTTTGCAGAGGCAATCATTGATATGATATGGAGAATCATGTCCAACAATTGGTACTCAGTATTAATAAACGGCAAAGCACATGGATTTTTCCAGTCCTCGAGAGGACTGAAGCAGGGTGATCCATTATCACCAACCCTGTTTATTATTGCAGCAGAGTTATTAGCTAGATGGTTAAATAATTTACACAGGGATATAGCGTGAAGGGTTATGGCCTTCCCAAATGGAGTCCGGAGATTAATCATTTGTCTTATGCAGATGATACTATTCTATTTGGCTCAGGAGACAGAGGTTCAATTATTAAAATGATGAAGGTGTTAAGAGACTATGAATTGGTTTCGGGTCAAAAGATCAATAAGGAGAAAAGTTTCTTTTACCTTCATGATAAGACTCCTTTAATTGTAGCCATTAGAATGTGTAGATTAACAGGAATAAGGCAAGGAAATTTTCCTTCTACCTATTTGGGCTGCCCAGTTTTTTATGGAAAAAGGAAGATCAGTTATTATGCAAGCATGGTTAAAAAAATTGCCATGAGGGTCCTTACATGGCATAACAGATTTTTGACTTTTGGGGGAAAGTGGGTGCTTATTAACAATGTACTTCAATTCATGCATGTGTACATGTTATCCGCATTAAACCCACCCAAAAAGGTGTTGGAGCAAATACATCAATTTTTTGCTAAATTCTTTTGGGGAAATTTGGGTGGAATTAAAGGAAAGCATTAGGTGACATGGAAAGAGTTATGTTTTCCAAAAGCTGAAGTGGGTTTGGGCTTTAGATCATTACATGACATCAATGATGCTTTATTTGCTAAATTATGGTGGAACTTTTGAGTGTCCACGTCATTATTGGCAAAGTACATGTGGAATAAGTACTGTAAAAAGCTCCACCCTGTGATGGTTACGAGTTCTGGTGCATCATAGGTATGGAGGAAAATGATCAACATTAGGGAGGTAGTAGAGCATGAAATGTGGTGGCAGATCAAAGGAGGAAATTCCAGCTTTTGGTGTGATAATTGGACAAGACAAGGAGCTTTATACTACATAGAAAGGGAAAGGGCACAGGAGGAGGAGCTAGAGGTGAAAGAATTTATCATCAATGGAACATGGAATGAGAACAAACTGAGGAATTTTATATCTGAGAAAATGGTGCAGCATGTACTTACAAACATCAGACCTAATGTTACAGAGGTATGTATTGATAAGGCTTGGTGGAGAGGCAACAACAATGGAACATTCACTGTTAAATCAGCATTCCATATGGTGAGATGCAAAAAGGCAAAAGAAGAATGAAGGAAGTTCATGTTGGTTAAAGGCTTGCCAATTAAGGTTAGCTTCTTTCTTTGGAGAGTGTGGAGAAGGATAATTGCTATAGATGATAATCTTAAAAGGAGAAGGATGCAAGTAGTTTCCAAATGCTACTGTTGCGAAACTAGGGAAATGAAGACTATGCCTCATCTTTTACTAACAGCTCCCATAACCCAAAAGCTATGGAAGCAGTTTGCTTCATGTGCATGTGTCATTATAAGTGAGTTAACCTTACAACAATTGATTTTCAAATGGTGGGAGCACAGTGCATCGAGCAAGTTAGAGCACATTTTGAAAGTGATTCCAACAATCATTATATGGGAACTGTGGAAGCGCTGAAATGCTCATAGATATGGAAATGAAGTAACTTACAACATGATGTATAATCAATGTCAATTAATTGTATATCAGTTAGTAAGGTTAAGATTTCCATGGATTAAAAGAATGTTATTTCAGTGGCCATAGATGGTAGAAATGTTACATAATTACAAACCTACTTTACACTACCATTTGGTGAGTTGGAAGCCACCAAGTGAAGGTTGGGTTACGTGCAATACTGATGGAGCAAGCAAAGGGAATCCGGGAAAGAGTGCTTGTGGGTATTGTATAAGGGATGGAAATGGAGACCTTATATATGCGGAAGCGCACAATATAGATGAGGCCACCAACATGGAAGCTGAGGTAATGGTAGTGTGGAAAGATTTACGTTATTATATGGAAAATAGATATAGTCAAGTTTGATTGGAAACAGATTCTCTAGCTTTAAAAAATATGATAAGAGGATGTTGGAGAATACCGTGGGAGGTGATTGAGAAAGTGGAAGATATCTAGCAAGTTATTCAGAAAATAAATGTACAGGTTTGGCATGTTTTTAGAGAGGCGAATCAATTAGCAGATTTTACAGCTAATACAACGATCAATTCAAAGCAGAAATTAACATTTCAACAGTTCAATCAGCTTCCAAGCAAAGGTAAAAAGATTCTTAACATTGATAAACAACAATGGTCAGCATGCTTAGATACAACATAGAAGTCACAGGGTTCCTCAGCTATGCTATGTACAATTTAGATTTTTTTTATTTTTGGAGCAAAAGAGCTGTACAGGAACATTTCCTAAGCTATGTCAACTAGCAAAAAGTGATACATGGACCAGCAAAAGGAGAGAGTCTAGGAGCCGTATCTGAATTCAAAACGAGCAGTTAGCGGAGAGATCGAGGGGAGGAAGCGCGGGGGCTCCTGGGTTCACTCGTAATCGGGTTCAACTGGAAAACAACAGGGGTCAGATGTTTGCAGAAGAAAAGGAAGAAGAAGACGAAGGAGGTACAAGATGACTTACAAAGCTGAATGCAAGGCTCACACCCTCTTGGGAGCTTGACAAGAACTCTTACCGGGTAGTACACCTACAAAAAGAAAAGAGTGAAATTATCAAAAGAATAATAGGAAGAAGTACTGGAAAAATGAAACCCAAACCTTTGATAGCTGAATGTTTCAGCATTCTTAATCATTGAAGAGCATCAAGGGAACATGGTGGCGGACAGAGATGCAGAAATGGAGAACTGGAAAAAGTGGAAAGAGAAGAAGGATCAAATTAGGAAACTCTAATTGAGTTGGTCCGAATTTTGGGCCAACAATGTACTATTATTCTTTGTTTTGTTTGAACTTTTAGCCCATTAAGGCATTAATAAAAGAACTTCAAGTCCAAATTTTTTCTTTTTTTTAAAAAGATCAATAAATTGTTTAAACACTCGTATTGTGGCAAATAAATAAATAAATAAATAAAATTCAAAAGTATAAATTAAATTAATCAATATAATATGCATAGAATTAATTAAGTAGTTTTTCTAACAATTTTTGCGTGTCAACTTGTATAAAAATAAATAAAGGAGTTTTGCATGACAAAAATCATCAAAAACTCCCACGGCATCACTAACTAACTTGTAAAAAATAAAGGAGTTTGGCATGACAAACATCATAAATAAAATCCCTCTCCATCACACTTATTTGAATCATTAACTTCGATATCAATTATTCATCAGTTTATAAATATTTCTAATATTGTGTAGTATTATTCGTTTTAGACAAAATCCCACCTAATTTTCTCCCTATATACATCTACCTGGTATTAATCTTCTAGCTTTCCTATATAAAAATGAGTACATGAATTCATATCATATATCATTTTTAATATCATTATTCACAATTGTAGAATTTAGCTTCCCTATTTTTACTCTCTTTTTCCTAACAATTTTTACACAATGGAATTATCTAAAATTGAACCATTTCTAGAAGGCAAGACTATTCTCATTACTGGAGCCACCGGATTCCTTGCAAAGCGTACTCTCTTTCTCTCTCTCTATATATATATGTCATCAATTTTGTATTAGTCCACTTTTAAAGAGAATGATATATTTATATATTTGGAAATTATTTAACTTTTTATTTGTGTTGAGTTTCCACATGAATGTGAATATGGATTACTTACCTTCTTATATATACGTTGATTGAAAATCTTCATCTCATAACTAATTTTTGGGATTAAGTTAAATATGAAATTCATTTTCTTATCATAGTATCATATCACATCAATTTCAATTTTAATATCTGATATCAAACCTCATTTTATATTGTCTATGCTTCAATGTCCAATTCTAAGTGTGTGTCCAAGGAGGGTTCGCGGAATTGAGTTCCTTTCTAGGTTGGAATATGGATTATTTGTCTTCTAATACATAGTTTGTCGACAATTCTTTTTTCAACTAACTTTTAGAGTTAAGTACTTGAGTTAGACCCTTTTCTGGGGGTGGGGGTGCTCATTTTTTCTCTAATGAAATAGACACGTAAATCTCATGGTATTTTAAGATCATAAATTTCTTAAATAATTATTTATTTTTTTAATTTCATACATATTATTGTATTTGTTTTTTTTAATTAGTTGTAGTGGAGAAGCTACTTAGAGTTCAACCGAATGTGAAAAGACTATTTCTTCTGCTAAGAGCTTCAGACATCAAACCTGCCAGAAAGCGCTTCAATGATGAGGTATTAGACATGATATTCTTATTAATAAAGATTCATTTGCACGCACCTCAATAATTTTATTGATTTTATCAATATGTTATAAATTATCGATAGTATTTTATAAAGTAATATTTTCTCTGATGGATATAGTATTTCATTATTATTTTATTTAAATTTTATAAAACAAATTGTTGACTTGTAAGTTTGCATTCACAGATTTTGCAGGCTGAATTATTTAATGTTCTAAGAGAAAAAATAGGTGCAAATAACTTAAATTCTCTAGTAGAAGAGAAGGTATTTCCAATTGCTGGTGATATTTCAATTGAGGATTTGGGGATTGAAAACTCAGAGATGAAAGATGAGATGTTAAAAGAAATTGATATTATCATACACTCAGCTGCAACTACTAGATTTGATGAGAGGTATATATTCATATGATCATATTTAATTCGCAGAATATATCGATAATCTCTTATGGACGATGTCTGTAAATTTCATTTAGATATTTAAATTAGATTGTGTTTCAATTAAGTACTTGAACACATAAATTGGAACACTTTCCGTTTAAATTTTGAAGAAAAAATTGTGTATTCTCAATCATCTGTTACGTAGTTAAGTTACCTGCATAAATTATATATACCTCCTTTAGTTACACAAATTAGCTTCAATTATAACATACATGATATTTTACAGGTTATTAAGGCTAATGCGTATAATTAGATAAGGAAGTTACATATTTGAAATGGTTAACTTATCTACATAATGGGCAATTGAGAACATATGCAAATACTTTTGTGCAATTTTAGTTGGAAGATTTTAATCAGAATATTGCTTAATCAGAACAAAACATAGCTCGAATTTCTAAATGAAATTAACTGAGAAATTTAAGAGATTATCGATATATTCCTTAATTTTAATGCAAGAAATTTTGATTTATTTCCCTATGTTTAGTTTCACTAGTATCATTTTTTCTTCTTCTTGTAGATATGATATTGCAATGAATATCAATGTGCTTGGTGCCTCCAATGTCCTCAAGTTTGCTAAAAGATGTGCAAATGTGAAAATTCTTGTTCATGTATCCACTGGTCAGTTTTTTATATGATACACATTTTGGAAGTGAATTAAGAATTTTTATTTAATGAGTTAAAGATTTTGTATGTTTGGAAAATAACTTGAATTGTTGTTCATATCATATTGCATACTCTAATTTAATATAATTAGCATCAACAAAATCATTAATAAGATTAACCACTAAACTCTTTTCACCACATTTTTAAGTTTGCCTAAAAAACTTCACCCTTCTTCTTCACCACATTAATTTTTAAGTTTGCCTAAAAAACTTCACCCTTCTTCTTCACCACATTTTTAATGAGGAATATATCTGTTCTGAATTCAAAGTTACAAATAAATTGAGTTTATAGTCAAATATTAAAATAGTAGTCAAAAACACAATTGAAGTACCATTTTTTCGAGTTTTATATATGAACTATAGGTTTTTCATTTTCTATCTGAACTATCAGTACCAACTATTATAAAACACACCTTGAAGCTGACTAGACCAAGTGTTTGAATAAAATCACTAAAAGTCGCATGAAAACTTAATTTGCCCATAAAATTTAATCCAATGGCAACTGGCTCATTAATGTTGAAGTGTGTTTTGATGAATAGTTGGTGATAGTTCAAGTTGAAAACGCAAACATCATATAATTCAGGTAGAAAATTCGCAACGAGTGATACCTCAAGTATATTTTTGACTATTAGCTCAATATTTTACTGTAAACTCAATTAGGTCATGCTATGCACATGGTCCGAGAGAAAGGGTCCGACCACAATCGTCTTTCATTAATAATTACTATTAATTTTGGTAATCTTCATTACTAGCATAATTTTGAGAAAACCAAATATGTCATCTTTTATGTATAACTTAATTTATTTGTGTATTTATATCCTTTTTATGCTAAGCTTCTTGAAGAGAATTGTCATGTTAGTTACATTTCATTGTTTGTCTCATAGCTTATGTTTGTGGGGAAAGGGAAGGAGATATAGTAGAGAAATCATTCAATTTTGGTGACTCCAACATAGATATTGATGTGGAGAGGAAAGTGATAGAGGACAAACTTAAGGAACTTGAAGCTCAAAGCTTGACATCAAAGGAAGTGACAATGGCCATGAGAGACCTAGGCCATCAAAGGTTAGTTTTTGAGATATGTTTCCTCTTTGTTCCATTTTATGTATGAAAATGATCAATGTGTTTTGGTATGAAGGAAAATGTTTTTTTTTTTATAAAAAAAAACAAGTACATTTCTTACTTTTTTTTGTGTGTGTTTAGTATGTAAGTGATTTTTTTTTATCATAAAGACGGGCAGATCCAGGTTGAATGAAGGACTATCAAGCAACAATGTTTCATTGAAAACTTTTACTAAATATATATATTAATAATATTTCTATAAAAATATATTTCCTTTTAAACTCGATGCCCAGTCAAACAAGTTCATACTTGACAATTATTTTTATTACATTAACATGAGTATTATTCATTTAGGGCAACTTTACATGGATGGCCAAACACATATTCCTTCACAAAAGCAATGGGAGAGATGATGTTAGGACACTTGAAAGAGAATCTACAACTTGTTATAGTACGTCCAACTATTATCACTAGCACTTATAAAGAGCCATTTCCGGGATGGATTGAAGGAGTGAAGTAAGTTTGTAAAATTGATGCTTCTTCTATGTCAATTTATGTTACACAATTTGAATTTTGACCGTCAAACTTGTTTACGCTTTACAGTCAAACTTAAACTATTTGACTCTAAAAATTATTCGAACTTTGTCACATAAATCGTGACATAAAAAATACTTTTTTAGCTAGTAAATTTGCGTCTTTTCCCTACTATCAGTAATTCGATAAACTATATTTGAACTTATATAAAGAAAAATTATATATTCATGTCTCTTATATTTGTATATATTATAACTTTGCAATTGCAGAACATTGGATACCTTTATTTTAGTATATGGTAAAGGTATATCAAATGTCTTCCTTGCTGACCCAAACACAAAACCAGACCTGGTATGTACTTTCTATACTTGTTCAATTTATTTATTTTTATTTTAAAAAAAATATGAGGTGTTTGATTGGAGCAACGATAAAGTTGTTTTCGTCTGATTTATGTGTCACGGGTTCAAGCCGCGGAAGCAGTCACTGATGCCCTCATAAATTTGTAATTTTCTTTTAATATACATATTTTTAACCTTTTGTCATTAATTACAGATTCCAGGTGACATGGTGGTGAACTCTATCCTTGCAGCAATTGTAGCACATGGAAATAATAAATCATATCACAATCACTTCATTTATCACATTAGTTCATCTAAAATAAATCCCTTGAAATCTGGTGATGCCAAACTTTTCATGTTTCATTATTTCACCAAAAATCCTTGGATTGGCAAAAACGGAAACAAAATCAAAGTGAAGGAGATTACATTTTTAAGCAGCATGGATAGCTTTCAGGCACACATTTCAAGATATTATTGGCCCTTGTTAAAGGTGCGTATCGTTCTAATTTTATCAGATGTGTCCCTAAAGAGATTCCTTATTTAAGGTTTCTTTTCAATATAATGTTTTTAATTCTCTTTTTTTAACCATATGATAACAAAAATTTACTCATTCAACTAATCTAGAATTCCATATTCGTGCCACATAGATGATAAGACCCATATAAGGTGAAGAGTTTTTTTTATCAAGAATTTCTCTATATATTTGTAGAGTTTAGTTGTGCGAAGAACCCATTAACAAAAGATCTTATTGATTGTGTGAAGAAACCATTAACAAAAAACCTTTCTTTGATCCCCCTTTTAGGGCTGGGAAGAGAACGAAAATGAACCACATATGATAGTCGTGGTTGATTTTGATTCGAGAATCAAAGTACATTAGAAAGGTACATATAAGGTATATAGAAATATTAATCTTAATGGTGTGAAGCCTTTTTGGAAAAAATTCTTGAAAAATTAGAGGAATATATTACACCATGTTAAGGTTACACTTTGGGGATGTTTTAGCCCAATAACTGGTATCAGAGTTAATGATCTGATAAAACAAGTATGAAATTGGTAGAGTAGTAGCTAGCATGGGCCCGGGGCCTGACATTACGTTTTTGCCCGTCTCCAGGCCGATTTACTTTCTAGGTGGCTTAGAGACACGTATACTTGAAAAGAACCCTATGAACTATAATTTGGTGGCTCTAATCATTCAGATGAACGTGAGTGACATACATTTAATCTCAAGATAAGTCCATGAGGTCATATATCGTATAAAATTTAGTTGAGTGAAAGATTGTGTGATGCCCCAACTTAAGATTAGAAGTCCCGCATTGGAAAAACATTGGAGAGATGTTGGGTACTTAAGTAAGCAGATCTTATCAACTAGTGACACGTTTTAAAGTCGTGTGGGGCTAGGCCCAAAGTGGACAATATCACTTGCGGGCTGGGCCATTACAAATGGTATCAGAGCCACTCCTGCGCCACCCTTGTCGATGTGGGCCAGAGTTCGACTGAGTTTAGACGAATTCCGATAAGGCGGGGCAAACCTCAGTGCTGAGTATAGGCAAATCCCATACGATGAGGCAAACCTCAGCGAGGACGTTGAGTCCATAGAGGGGGTATATGTGACTCCCCAGCTTAAGATTAGAAGTCCACATCGGCAAAACACGGGAGAGATGTTGGGTATTTAAGTAAACATGTTTTATCAACTAGTGACGTGTTTTTAAAGTCATGCGGGCGTAGATCCAAAGGAGACAATATCACTAGTGGGTTGGGCCGTTACAAGTTGTTGATCATACAAATAAAGTTCCACGGTGATAGCCAAAAAAAAAATAGTATAAATGTAACATATGGTTGCAGAATTCTCCTAATGATGTGAGACCTTTTGGAGAAAGTCATAGGGACTTGGCTCTAAGCGAATAATATCACACCATGTTAAGGTTTTTTAGGTTGATCTAGCCCAAAAGACCTCTGATAAGGAATAGCGAAATCTCATTCATCTTACCACATTCTTCAACATGATGTTCTTAATACAATTCTCAATTGTTGGGTTTTGGGTACTTATATTAATCAACCAAACAGGAAGTTATATACTTTTGAGTTTATACTTTATAGTTAGTAGCAATTAATCTAGAATTTTCTCTTAAGTGTTAAGTAAACATGACCTTTATGGTTATTAACCTTAAATGTGTTCCTAAAAAGTACTACTTAATTTAATACTAATAAAGTTACACTTTCACATTAACACTTTTTTTTTTTGGTAATTATAACACTAATAACTTGTTCTTTCATATGTTTTAGGTACTACAATTGGCAAATGTATTGACATGGTATTATCTTATTGATGGAACCTACACAAATTTGAAAAGGAAGATTGATATGGACATACGTCTATCTAAACTCTACAAACCTTACTTGATTTTTCATGGAAGGTATGTGCACGATATGATTTCTAAGAGTTAAGTTATACGTATCGTCAGTTTACACTTTAGGTCATTCAAAAGATATATACATGATAAGTAGCCTCCTTAAAGTGTAGGATTTGAAATCTTAAAAATAAGACTTATTACCAGCTATAACAAATAAAAGATGACTGATGATTAAAAAATATTTATACTGTCGGTGCATATAATTACTTAAGTACGTATATCCAGCGTCGCTATAATATATACTTTACCCTATCAGATGATCCAAAAGATATCTACATGTAAGCTTCTTTATTGTAACATGTGTGAGTTGTAATCTTGAAAATAAGACAACCAGAATATCTACTACAACAGGTAAATTAGATGACTTGATAGTGTAAAAGTTATTTACACTGACGATATATATAACGTAGATTCCAAGCATTATTTGGTTATCAACTTATCATATATTATTTCTTATAATTTTTATACTTTATTCAGATTTGATGATTCTAACACTGAAAGGTTGAGAATGACAATGAAAGAATGCAAGATGGATGATGTGCTCAAATTTGATCCAAGTTGCATCAATTGGGAGGATTACTTCATGAATATTCACATCCCTGGTGTTGTTAAGCGATTAGCCTAACGATCATATGTTTAAGTTGTTGAAGACATAATAACGTAAATTAAACTATTCTTTTTATAACATGATTTGAACTAGCTAGTTTGGGATCATGAAATAATTACGCGCTTTAATATAAGTTTCAACTTCACTACAATATTCCTCAATTGCTTGCACTACAAATTGAGGATTTTGTGCCCTCTTAGAAATCATAAATAGTTCAAACTGATCAACAGATTTTTATTGTTTAGATACAAAAATTGTCTGCCGCTAATTCGGGAAATTCGGGAAAAAGTATCAAAAAGAAAAAAAAATGATCGAATTGATTCTAAGTTGGTAAATTGACATATGAAATCTTTCATACAGTCTACTACCAATATTTAATATAAAATTTCAAAAATGATAGGTTCACAATAACGACATACCTAATATAACAAATAGTGTAATTTATCCTTATCGTTGTCTATCAAATAGTGCATATTTAATATTTTTGTTAATACAACTATATTTAGTGGGAAAATATTAATAATAAAAACTTGTTTATACAACTATATTAGTAATTTCAAAAAATACCACATGGCTCTAAAATATTTTATAACCCGTGTTTCTTTCTTTCAGACCCTACTCAACTAAAAAAAAAACTCAATTCCTCTTTTAGTCAAACAAGCGTCCTAAGCCATTCAAATTGGGTTTGGAGAGGTAAAATAAACAATAGACGAGGTATGAATATTTTAAAGTCACATTTTTTAAATTTAAAAAAAAATCAGTTTTAAGAATATTTTATTTTTTATTTTAGTAAATATAAATCTAGTAACAAATATATATATATATATATATGCATAATTTGTTAGACAATAAAGATTGATATGCAAACCAAATTCCTATTGAATTGAAATATTTTATATTCTTTTAACGAAGGATATATTTATTCTAATGATGACACTGATGAGTTTAATTATCTAAAACATTTCGAGGGCCAAAGTGTAACAACTAAAACTTTATAACAACTCTATAATAAAGGGCAAATATGATCCTTTTCTAAGAATACATGGTAAATATGACCCTTTTTTCGTTTTATAATCGATCGCTAATGAATAGTTAAAATACATATTTTAATTAATTAAATGTTAAATATTAAATATGTAAAATCATATATCACAAAAAATATATAACATGTGAAACTAATAATTAATAATTGTGCATATAATCATATTTATTTAAATTTATTACATAACAATCCCTTCATATATATAATTAATATATAAAACAAACGACTGGTCAATGCAAAATCAAAAGAAATCAAAATTAATCTTTTTTTTCTTTTGTAACTGAAATGTAATCAAATCTGTTATTATATTAATTAGAAGCATGTCACTCACAAAAAACACTTTTCCTGCTGAGTCTTTTTATTTCTATTTTGAGGTTTGAATCAGTTCATTTATTTTATGTATTTATATAAAACAATTTTTTGTTACTGTTAAGAGAATGATTAATTTTATTGGTTTATTAAGTTGATGATGACTAAAATTAGCATTTTTTTTTTGTGCTGTGGTTTTTTTTCTCATTCATATCATGCAATCAGGAGTGGATCTACAATTTTATTTACGAATTTTATTAAATTCAGTAATTTATTTTCAATAGTTATGATTAAAAATTAATTTAATATATACAAATAATTTATTCAGAATTTGGTAAATTAGCTAATTTTTCTAAAATCTGAATTTCATATACTCAAAATTTTAACTTCGTCCCTAAACTTTATTTTATTTTTTTAACCTCCCTTTGACTTGAGTTTTTTTTTTTTTCAGCTTGCAAATGGCATTGAGCATTTTGAAGGAAATCCAATTGTCACTTCTTAATCAAATGTTGCAAAAGGTAGAATCTAACTAGTCTCAATTTCTATACATACTCCCTCCGTTTTAATTTATTTATTTTTTATTTGACTTAGAATTTAAGAAAATTACTAAATAGTATCTTTTTTCAAAAATCTTCTGGTCTTAAACTGAAGATATGTTGATACAATGATCTTAAACGTTGCCAAAAAATGAAAGAGACATTCTTTTTAAAACAAATTTTTTTAAAAATAAGATAAACAAATTGAAACAGAGAAATAGTAAATTTTTTATTTGTTCGACTTAAAATACTTAATTGTCTTTATGCAGGGTTTGATCAATAATGAATTTGAACATTTGATGATTTCAAAGAGGGCAAAAGATCCTCAATCTGTAGTTCAAACAATTGAAGAATATTGTGCTGAGGTTGAAGCTATATTATCACAAATGAAAAATGACATGTAATAACTCTCTAAACTAGAAAAAAACAAATATATATATATTTTATTTAGAATTATACATCATTTTTATTAATTCTATAATAATTTTATGGACTCTATAATTAATTTATCTCATGCAAATATTTTCTTATATGTTGATCATTTGCAGTGATACTCCTGAAGTTGACTTTTCTCATTTGATGGCATCATGTGAACTCGTCAAAGACAAAAGTATAAGGTAATTTTTTATTTTAATTTTTAAAGAATAGAGTGATTAATTTACTGTAAAACTATATATATAATTAATTAATCACTTGATCTTTGTAATATAATTTTTCAAAACTTTTGTTATTTAGCTTTATCCTCTTACATTAAACTTTGGATTATTTACCAATCAATGTGCAAAATCAATTTATTTTTATTTCTTGAAATCCCTTAATTATAAGTAATTGGTAAAATTCTAACTAGTGTGTAGTTATGGTCTATATAGTTTAAAACTTCATTTCTTATAGTCTAGTCTATTCTAATCTGAAGTAGTTACTATGTATAGGCGTATAACAACAGTTTTCTTTAGTACACATGTAAAATAACTTTGTAACCCTAATATGTTATTTCTTAATTTTCATTGGCTTTTGTCTTCGCTATCTCTCATGACTTAGTATAGAGCCACGTAGTTATCAATATCTCATATATACTTTCGTCGTTTCACCTCATGTGAGAGTGTTGTAATTCAAGGAATCAAACAACGATCTTTGGTTATGATTTTCTCAAACTCATTTATAAATATTTTGAATTATTACCTGTGTTAACATATAATTCCTTTCATGTACTTTTCATATATGTAAATCTTATTTTCAAAAAAAAATTATAGGTTTATAACGACCTAAAGTCCACACAAACAAAAAAATTAGATACTTTGAACCTCATACTCCAAAACCCTTTCATTCAATTCAGAAACATTTAGTTCTACATTAATTTATGTATTTCTTATTAGGTAATTAATTTTATTTAACATTCTCAATGTGAAATTGAAAGTATTAATATTATTAATTATATGTTGATGGTGTAGGATTGGTTCTGTACTAGTGAGTTCCACATGCATGCTTCTCATTCGTGTTTGTGATGAGAGAAACAAAAAGAAGTAAGTAACAATTAATTTAATTATTCGATTCACTTCTCATTTCAAGTAAAATGCATGTTCAGCTACATCAGGCATATAAACATATATAATCTCAGGTTTTCCCTAATCTTGGAGTTGTTAAAGAATGATTTTTCAACTACACAAAGCCAATTGGAAGCTTATGCTAGGGTATGTACTCAGCCTAAACACAAATTAATTAATCACAACTTAATTAATTAATTAATTAGTGATGTTTTTGAATTTATTCAATCTTATTAAAAGATGTTAATTGCACTTGCAGATGGAGAGAAGGATTATCATAGTGCAAATTGATGAAGCTGGAAGCTCAAGTTTTTAATTAGAAGGGAAATATTTTAAACTATGTTATAATTGAATTTTTAAACTATGTTTATTTACCTTTTCTATGATAAGTAAAAAAAACTATTTCACCTTGAAGTTTAATTTTTATTTCACCATGGTTGATAGAAATTAGTTGCTTTATTATTCATCCCACATGCAACCAATTATCAAACCTCCCTAAAACATTGCTTGTCTAATTTTATTTTTTTACTGCTATAGTAAAATATTGTTATAAAAAACATATAATATAACAGCACTAATGTGAAGATTTGGTGCTTCTAGAACTACATATAAACTAAACAATAAATTGATTGCGAGAAACAAATAGTTATATCATATGTTTCTATAACAATATTTTGCTATAGCATTTTGTTCTTTTTCAACAGGTTTGATCAAAACATATAAACTAAGTATGTCTATTTTTAGTAATTTTCGTCTTTTACAAGTGAAACCTACTAAAATAAAATAATTATCTTATTTTTAGTTTGATGACCAAAACATCTCCTCTGATAAATATAATGAAATGTCACAGATTATGGTGAGGCTATACGTACTGTTTCCCCCAACTCCTTATGGAAGGTCTCGTAAAGTTTTTTTCAAAAAAGCGACCAAAAGTCATTTCACCAAATATTCATGGGCTAACACACACAAAAAATTGAAAATATCGCCTAATTCCTATAAAAATGACTCCTAAATGCCCAAAAAAGTCGTGGAATAGGGTGAGGCTATACATACCGTTCCCCTATCTCCTTATGGAGGATCTCATAAGAAGATTTTAAAAAAAAATTGAATCGGAAGTCGTTTCACCAAATATTCATGGACTAACACACATGAAAAATTGAAAAAAAATCTCCTAGTTCCTATAAATGGCTTCTAAATGCCCAAAAATGCCGTTGATCATGGTGAGGCTATACGTTCTGCTCCCTCAACTCCTTACAGATAGTCTCATAAAGTTTTTCCAGAAAAATCATTTGAAATCCATTTCCCAAATATTCATGGAGAAACATACATGAAAAATTGAAAAAAACTCTTAATTAATTCCTATAAAATGCCCAAAAATTGCAACAAATCATGATGAGTCTATACATACTGCTCCCCAAACTTCTTATGGAGGGTCTTGTAAAAAACTTTCAAAAAAATCGTCTGAAAGTCATTTCACCAAATTGTAATGACTTTAAAGGTCATTTTGGAAATTTTCAAAAAATTACCATTTTACTCCTCTCGATAGTTGCCTCGAGTCTTGTCTGATCAGTTCACAAAGTTTGTTTTGAAATTTGATTGTAAAGTAGTGATTTTTGAAAGTTTAGAGTTTTGGAGAGTTAAAGTTATTAAAAGTGATTTTTGATAACAGCTAGAACTACAAATCTCGAAATAGAATCTATCAGTTTCATCATCACCTCAGGAACATTACTTTTGAGTTGCGACGACTAATGGCTCAGGTCTTGAGGTATTCAGATGAGTTTTGGAAGAGTTTTTGTGTTTTGAAAGTTGAAAGCTTATAAGATAGTTGACAAAATTTAACATTTGGTGATAGCAAGCTTGGAATGGAATTTCGATAGTTCGGTTAGCTTCAGAATATAGTATCTGGTCTAGATGTATAATTGTTGGTTTGGATCTCAAGACTTTTGGTTTGATTTTGATTCTTTAGATGAGATGCAGGAAAAGTTAAGACTAAAGTCTTACTTTAATCAATGCTTGAGGTTAGAAAGGTTATTTACTAGTTTTAATAATTCCACTAGGTCCAAAGTGATGTTTGGTATAGTTGAAGGTTTGATTTAGTTTCCGAAGCTTTTGGATGAGTTTCATGTCCTTATTTGGAAATTTGGAGATTCTTAAGTTAAAGTTGACTTTGATCAATATCGAGTTAAAGTGACCGTGTTTGGATATTTTGATGATTCCATTGAGTCTGAAATATCATTTTTCAGCTAAAAGCATATTTGGTTTGTGTCCGGGAGGTTCCGAGATGAGTTTTGATTGAGTTTCTAAGCTTTTTTAGGTGTCTTGACATTGTTTCAGTATTTTCTATCAACTAAAAGGTTCGTTATTAGTTTTAAAGATCAAAAAACTGTTTCAAAACTTCTAAAAGTTTAAGCATGAATTATAGGATTGATCTGCAAAGTTTGGTGCATTTTCGCTATCCTGAGATTGAATTTTTATCGTGATTTATGAAATAATTGTATAGCGAGCAGAAATTATATTTGATTAGAAAAATGAGCACAGAATTGAGTACCGATTGAACGAGCATGTTTGTATCATTATTTAAGACATTTAAGAAAAAGAATCGGAACATTTTGCTATCGTATGAGGAAGTTACGACTCTTTTAGTGAAAATTTAAGTTGCTGACGCGTTGTTATAAATATTATTGTACATGTATTTAAATTTTAGACTGTGTTCATTTGGTAATTTGAGCAGGGAGTTCTAGAGTTTAGAATTGAGTGATTCTTGCGGCATTGTTCTCGATTTAATATGGGGGTTGGTATCCAATCCTCATTTCAACATTTTCTCATGATTTATTCTTTTGGTTTCCTTTCCTTATCTTTGTACTTCTTGGGGGGAATTAGGATTTTAACGATTTGGATTCATTTTTTATGAAAAAATATATATTTAGGATCCTTATGTTATAGGTAAGCTGATTTTGACATAAATTTGTTGATTCATCAATTATTTTCATCATAGTAACTGCGTATAAGCTTGAAATTTGGGTTTTATCCTGATAAAGTTAAAGTTTGATAAATTGAGGATTTCAAGGTTGATTTTAACTCTGTTTTTATGAAATTTCATATTTGAACTTTCCAAAGCATGAATAAGATATTTAGATTCTAGTCGGGGTTTCAGACTCGAGTATTGGGGGGTTTTCTCACGAACTTGTGATTTAAATAAATTAGACTTTTTAGCGTGATTTCAATTCATTTTCAATGATATTTTCACTATTGAGTTCCAGAACCTTTGGGTAACTTGATTTTATAAAAATTTCTAAAATTATCCTTCATTTTTGAAATTGGATCTTTTGGGCTGATTTGACCATGTTTCCCAAAATACTTGATATGTCACGACCCGAGCCTACACCTTGGACGTGGCCGGCACTCGAAGACCATTGCTGGTCCCCAAGCGAACCCTCGTCCTGGCTGACTACAAGCGGAAAACTGATTCAAGCATAGAAAGCTTAAAAACTGAAATAAAAGTTCATAAAACTTAAATATAAACTTTAAGTCCAAAGAAAACTCTGTATAATAAAATATATACAACTCGCCATAAAAAGGCAACTTTAGTCTTTAAAACATTTAACAAAATAAATGATACAGACTTCTCAACTATACTGACTATCTATGAAGCCTCTAACTGATAAAGATGGAAGTCGGGACAAGACCCACGACATCCTAACAACTGATATAACTGAAAGGTAAATGAAATCCTCCGAAAGCAAGGAGGCTCACCATAGCTAACTCGAACTCTCGGATGTATCAACGAAGCTCCTGTTGATGATCCTGAATACCTGTGTCTGCATCATGAGAAGATGCAGGCCAAATGGCTCAGTACGTGGAATGTACGAGCATGTAAGAGGAATTCTAAAACATAAACATAAGCTTGAAACTTGATAGAAATGAAACATACTTACCTCTTCTCAAACTTACTCTACTCAAGGAATACTCAAGGGTACTCAAAAACTACTCAAACTTACTCAACTCAGAAGTACTCAAGGATAAGATACTCAACTCCGAGATTAGATACTCAACTCAAGGATATGATATTCGACTCAAAGATATGATATTCAACTCTGGATACTCAACTCTAGATACTCAACTTTGAATACTTAACTAAATATGACTGAACTCATTTCAATATAAAGCAATTTAAAACAAGTGCAATATAAAGAAACAAACTGTTTAAAAATATGCTGTCAAATCTGTGTGTATGCAAGGATACAACATAACTCTGAAATGTATATAAAAATACAATAAACTGATGTATATAAAAAATACAATAACTTCTGTGGGAGTTTCTCTAACCGACAACCATCACATAAGAGCTATAGTGATGATACAGCGATCTACCTCACGCTGCCAGCGCATCCTATACCCGGCCAAAGGTATAGGACCTGAACTACTAATGGATCCACTAGTCTATGTGAAAAGGGTTCATCTAAAAAGTATGACCCTTTTCTACCCATGATGGCTACATGGTTTATGGAGGCTGTGAGTTGTCTGAACTCTCCCCCATATCGATGCTCAATACTACTCCCAAAAATATACTAGCTCTTACGTTTTAAAAAAACATACTTCTTTCTGCTGATTTGAGATAATTGCTCAAAAACTTAGCTCAAAGGCTATCTTGGAAATCTCAGTTTCCCTGCTTGCTTCATTTAGAAAGCTATTACTCTTTTCTGAAAACTAACCCGAAGGCCCTTTGGAAATCTCAATTTCCGTTCTTATTTAAATGTGAAAACATTTATAAACTCTTTGGGAATACTTAGTCCCCATATACTTTTGAAGAAAAGGACTTCAAACTTTACTCTTTACTCTTTACTGAACTCAAAACTTAAGTCTTAAAACAAAGTTAAAACGTTTGTAAAAGACTTCTTAAAATATGGTTCATACCGAATTATGGACATGAACTACTCAATGCAAGGTTTTCAATAACCATAGAGAAAACTCAAATACTTGGAACTCAAGAACTTCAATAATACTACTCATTTCAAGAATGCTCAACTCAGAGGGCTCATGCGGAATTATGACCATGAACGACTCAACTCAAGGACTCAAAGATACTTCTCTTCTCAAGACTGCTCGACTTCTCGACTTATAGGATTCATGCGGAATTATGGGCATGAACAATTCAACTCAAAGACTTTATGAGTAACATGTAATAGTCTCATGCTTAGAAATATAATCTCAAAGGGTATTAGGAACTCAATACTCAAGACTTGGAACTTGAACATACTACTCCTCTCAAAGATACTCAACTTCTGGAGTTCATGCGGAATTTATGTGCATGAACGA